GGATGAGTAATCGAGGCTGAATTTGCGCATAGTGGAGTCTGATTAGCGCAAGTGGGCAGTCCAATCGACATTTGGGATCGTGAAGTATGGTGGTGAGACTCCAGAAATCCCGGTGAATCTCGGCCGCGGCGCTCAATCGTGGGTTTTGAACCTCTGGCCGTGGAGACGCATTTATTGCCTGGATAGCTGGTGAACCAACATCTCAAGCTGTCAGAATCCTTGTGAGAATGTCCACGTCTAATCACTCTGATCTTCATCACCAAATCCTGACTTCAGTCACTTCCCACCTTCCCTCGTGCATTAAATGCTACTTTGTGGCCAATGGGTTTTGCTGCATTAAACAGGCACTACTTCATTAAATGCAGCCTGGGACCCTGCTGTCACGTGATGATTTGCCTTTAAAGCCTTGGCCGTAATTTGGTTCGACCTCGGCCTCGGCCTAAGCTTGAGGCCGAGATGATCATGCCTTAGCATTTCCTTCTTTTATTTTTAAGAAGGCGAAGTACCCTGGTCGAAACGCTGCGTTTCAGTCTCTGCGAACAAGTGCCAGGGCCGAGAGAAAGGGCTCCTTCGGCCAGCTCATGGCCGAGATTTATCAGGCACAAACACCAGGTCAGGAGCCGGAGTTGTGATCGAATCTCCTCAAGGGCAAAAATGGCAGTTCGCATTCCAACTCGACTTCAAATGCCCTAATAATCAGGCTGAGTACGAAGCGCACATCATCGGTCTCGAGATTTTGAAAGAAATGAAGGCAACCCGTGTTTTGGTCTACGGCGACTCTCAGCTGGTGGTTAACCAACTGACTGGGGAATACCAATGCACGAGCGAGAACTTAGCCATGTATTATGTAACGGCCCTCAACACGGCCGATAGTTTTTCTAGAATTTCCTTTGTTCATATACCGCGCGCCGAGAACGGCGAGGCCAATGAGATGGCCCAGGTAGCATCAGGCGTAAACATCCCGAACACCGACCCCGATCGCGTGATAAGGATCGAGAGGCGTACCTTGCCAGCTTTGGCCGAACGAGGAATGACAGCGCAAGTATCTTCGGCCGATATCACCGACAAGATCAACACGGCCGAGCCATGAGAGGACTACACGTTTCCGAGCTCGATGTTATTTGATTTATCAGAACGAGCTGTATCGAAAAGGATCAGATGGTTTATTACTCCTATGTCCCAGAGCCGAGGATATCAAGGTCATCATGACTGAATCCCACGAGGGGATTTGTGGTGCTCACCAGTCCTTATTACTCCTATGTCCCAGCGCCGAGGATATCAAGGTCATCATGACTGAATCCCACGAGGGGATTTGTGGTGCTCACCAGTCCGGGGTTAAGATGAGGTGGTTGGTTCGGAGGCACGGCTATTACTGGCCGACCATTTTGAAAGATTGCATAGAATATGCAAAGGGATGCATCAAGTGTCAAATCTACGGCCCCATACAAAGGGTACCGGCCGAAGCCTTCCACCCGGTTATCCAGAGAAGCCGTACACCATCCAGCAGCAGTGTACACCGTCTAGAGCTGCCATCCATCTATTCCACGTATTAGCATCAAAAGCCAGTCAAATATGGAGCTGCTGTAAGAATAACAGAGTACCCCCTAGGGCTTGCCTTCCCTTCGGGATGCTTTGGGCCTAGTTCTCGCTAACTCAGAAACGGGGACTTGAAGGCTTCACTCAAGACTAGCGACCATCCGGCCCAGCTAAGCCTTCCAGCAGAAAAAGACCCCCACAGGGATCAAATTGATCCACTCAACACCTTGCTACCCTCAATCTAACGGACAGGCCGAGGCAAGTAACAAAGTAATCAAGGGCATCCTTGAGAAGATGATCGAGGAAAAACCTAGGGCGTGGCACGACTTGCTCCCCGAAGCTCTTTGGGCTTACCGAACCTCAAAGCGGTCGGCCACGAGTACATCTCCTTACACCTTAACCTACGGTCACGATGCCATCGTTCCAATGGAGTTAAAGGTTCGGTCTCTCCATGTGGCCAAGCAGCGTGAACAAGAAAAGGGGGATTATGCACAAGCCATGGCTCAGGAGTTGGAAGATTTGGAGCAATCTAGACTCGACGCTTATAACCTCATGCAGGCACAGAAGTAGATTGCGGCGAGGGCTTACAACAAAAGGGTTAAGCAAAAAGCTTTCGCCAAACGCGACCTAGTATGGCGAGCCGTGCTTCCTATTGGGACAAAGGACCCTCGGTTCGGCAAATTTTCGCCCAATTGGGAAGGGCCGTTCATTATCGAACGAATTCTTGGCCGAGGTGCATTTCAGTTAAAGGATAGAGATGGAGAGTGGCACAACTTACCGATCAACGGCCAGTATTTGAAGAAATACGCCCCGTCATTATGGGAGACGGCCGCGAAAGGGTTATGAATATTTACAAATGATGAAAGTGGAGTATGCAACACGACAAAGACGAATTAAAGGAAATCATACTTCATTTTGTTCATTTAATTTAAAAAGGGGGACACGTTTACAAAGAAACGGCCAGGTCATGGCCGAGTACAAACACACATAAGAAAAATCACACCCTAAATCTACGCGCTTCGGCTCCATGGTCTTCCTGCTAGACAATCGGACGCTTTCCCCCGAGGCAGGACCTCCGCCACCCATATCGTCAT